CGAGCGAGCGAACCGCACAATCACGGAGGCGGCACGCGGGTTGCTCATTGAAGCCGGGCTACCCGACTATTTCTGGCCTGATGCGGTGCGGAGCGCGTGTGTGGCCAAGAACAGAGCCTTGACTCATGTGGGAGCAGACAAATGGGTGCCCTATGTGGAGTGGCTAGGAAGGAAGCCAAAGGTGGATATGCTTCGGGTGTTCGGGTGCATGTGCATGGCGCTCGTGCCTAAGCATCTTCGGCACAACAAGCTTGGTGCCAAGGCGGTGTGGGCCGTGCACTTGGGCATGGCTCAAAACAGCAAGGGATGGCTTCTTTGGGACCCATTCACCAAGAAGTTCTTGGTGAGCAGGGACTGCAAGTTCATGGAGAACTTCATGTACAAGGATTGGAAGGCGGAGAATGAGGCGAAGATAGGCGTGCGGTTTGGGGAGGTGAAGAGTTCCGGTTTGGAGCATGTGGAGTTGCCTTTGGAGCTGAGCAGCGGCAGCACAACCACAAGGCAATCCTCCCTTGTGAATGGGGGAGAGGAGGCCAATGATGCAGAGGAAGAAGAGGAGGAGGTGCAGCAAGTGAGCGAGCGTGCACCGTCACTCCCTTCCCGTACTACGAGTGCTCCACGGATTCGAGCCACACCGCAGCAACGCCAAGGCCTTCAAGTCCCTGCAGCTGAGGAGGAAGGAAGGGGGAAGAGGAGAGTTCAACCCCCTAATAGGCTGACCTATGATGCGCCGGGAAAGCAGGGCAAGACAGCCCTGGCCGGAGCGGCAATGATGGTCGGAGACGACGAGGAGAGTGACTACGAGGAGTGTGCCTTCGCGTTCTTCTCTCCGGTGGAGATGCCGGGAGAACCAGCAACTCTCAAGGAGGCTTTGGAGAGTAGTGATGCTGAGGAGTGGAAGAAGGCCATGGAGAGTGAGCTGAAGAGCATCGAGGAGAATGACACGTTTGAATTGGTGGAGCTACCGGAGGGGCGTACGGCGATAACGTCCAAGTGGCTCTTCAAAATCAAGTCGGATGCCGACGGCAAGATCGAGCGCTATAAGTCTAGGCTTGTAGCCAAGGGGTACCAGCAGAAGGAGAAGGTGGACTTCAAGGAGCTGTTTGCCCCTGTGGTGAAGCCGACGATGCTGCGAACCCTATTCGCAGGAGCCGCCATCAAAGGATGGGTAGTAAAGCAAATGGACATCGTAACGGCATTCCTTAACGGCATCCTTGAGGAGGAGATTTTTATGGCGCAGCCAGAGGGGTTTGATGATGGTAGTGGCAGAGTGTAGAAGCTGAAGAAGGCCCTCTATGGGCTGAAGTAGGCCCCTAGGCAATGGTACATGAAGCTGCGCGAAGTGTTGGAGGGGATCGGCTTCACTCCCTCAACGGCCGATCACTCCTTGTTCATGCTTGGCGAGGGGGAGCAGAGGAGTTTCATGGTGGTTTATGTGGATGACATCCTCATTTTCTCACCCTCTTCTGACCTTGTGAAGGAGGTGATGCTGAAGCTTCAAGACAAGTTCAAGTGCAAGGCCCTTGGTGACGTGAGCTTCTACCTTGGGCTCCACATCGAACGAGATGTGGAGAAGCGGTGCATGCGGGTGCATCAACGAAAGTACCTGGAGGCATTGGCTGCCAACTTTGGGCAGAGTGAAGGCCATGTGGCTACACCCTTTCCCTCTGGGTTCAAGTGTGTGAAGGGACCAGAGGAGGAGAGCGTTGGTGAAGAGGAGAGGCGCCGATTTCACTCGTTGGTGGGCAGCCTCATGTATGCGGCGGTAAACACCCGACCGGACGTCGCGTTTGCTACCGGGCAGCTGGCTAGGGTTGTGCAATGCCCTAATGAGGAGCAGGTAGCAGCTAGAATGAGGGTGGCCAAGTATCTTGGCCAAACACCGACCGTTGGGCTGCAATACTCGGCGGCGGCACAAAGGCGCCAAAAGGGCGCGGATGGTGTTGAACCCGGGCGTTTGTTCCTCACCGCCTACTCGGATGCTTCATATGCATCAGAACCAGAGGACATGACAAGTGTGGGAGGCTTCATATGCTGTGTTGGTGGAGGCCCAACTGCTTGGAAGAGCAAGAAGCAGGTTGACCAAGCTTTGAGCTCGGTGGAGTCCGAGTACATGGCACTCTTCCGTGCCGTACGGGAGATTGTGTGGCAGCGGCGTTTGTTGGCTGAATTGGGGGAGGAGCAGCAAGGACCTACCCCACTGTACTGTGACAGCCAGGGTGCCATTGCTCTTGCTAAGAACCCTGTGTTGCATGGACTCACGAAGCACATGAGGGTGAAGTGGCATTGGACGAGGAGCATGGTAACCGCGGGTGAAGTTGAGCTGCGCTACGTGAAGACCACGGGGCAGCCGGCTGACATGATGACCAAGAGGCTGGTGGAGCAGCAGCATTGGAAGTGTTGCAAGCTGGCTGGGATGGCTCTGAACTGAGAGAGCAACATATCCTAAGGCCAACAATCCGAGGGGGAGTTTGTTGGTGCAACCCTACGGTTTGCACTCGGCTTGTTGTCCGTGTGCGTGAATGTGTGTGTGTATGGAATGGTATGAGGGCATGGGATAATATATATTTCATGCTTATAATTGTGTGTGAATGTTGAGTCATGATGTCGAGTGTGTGTGTCGAGTCAATAGCGAGTTATCGCTAGACGCGTGTTACGAGGTCGTTTGTGTCTCGCGCGCGGTTTCTATTTTGTCGTGCGCGGTTTCTATTTTGTCCTGTGTCGAACGTTCGGCGTGTCGCAGGTGTGTCCAGCAGACCCATCAAGAACTCAAGGATGAGTTTGTGATGAAGAGCCCGAGCCTTGGTGTCAAGCCTCAAGTGATTTCGAAGCTTGCCAAAAGGGTACACCTCAAGATATTGAAGATAGTTACATTACTTTGTGTAGTGTAACATTTCACTTGGTGTAGGCCCTAGTGAAGGGTAGTTTCGAGACCCTTCGTGGTTGGGGACAGTGTGGCACTGTTCCACATCACTGTACCTCGGCTCTTGGGGTTTGTAGGAGCTGGGAGTCATTCCCAACTCGTAACTCTTCCTATCTTGTGTTCTAAGACTATAGTGGCTGCCATAGTACCGTTCGTTCAAACCGACGCTGTGTCGTCAATTCTTTATCAAATCGTGCAATCTAAATTGCTAATTGTAGACGACGTGAAGACGCTCCAGATCCAATTTGAATCAAGTCATTTGCAGCTGTGAGCAGAACGCTATCAACGTTTGAAGCCGCTGTGCAGAAATCCGTCTGTGCTCTCTATCTTTCGTTTTAGGCACATTCAAGCCTATTGTGACTATAACAGCTACGCCTACCACTACCCCCGCCAACGACGATGCCCCACGATGCCGCAGGCGTTGCAAGAATCCCTGCACCAAGGAAAATGTCGCCTCGGAAGCGCCTGATTTTTACCCCTTCACGTCACTCCCACCGACTCCGGTCTTTTCATCGCACACAGCCATGGCGCTCTTCCTCCAAGCCTACGCTCGCATGCTGCAGCACGTCCAGACTGCCACGTCGGGCGTTGCTCGCGTTGACCCCGTTGACGGCGTTGACCACAGCCAGGACGCCCTCGTCTCTGGCGAATCCCTCGCCGCCGCTGGCGTGACCGTGCTGAAAAGTGTGCGTGTGGGGCTCCGCGCGCTGCTGCACCACCCGCAGCACGGCGTGGTGGGGGGCCGCGGGGGGGCGTGGTGCGCCAGGAAGGAGCGCGCAGAGCAGTGCCTCGCGGAGCTGGAGTGCGATATTGAGACCATTCGCTCTGCGCATGAGCACCCGCCCCGTGCCACTACGCTCGCGCTTGCGACTATTCACTGCATAGACGCTGCTCGGATCATCATCAGACTGTTAAACGATCATCACCATTCTTGATGATCATGGGTCCAAAGTTCTCCTCACAGGCCCCATCATTCAACCTTCATCTCTCATTTCGCCCCATACGTCCTCGATCAACCAATCAACGAGAGGCACAGATGCAGCTAAATCTGGCTGCTAATCTGTGAGCCGGGTACACGTGAGCCAAATAGTTTGTGTTTAGATTTGCTGTTGAGGTGTAAATAATTAGTGCCCATCGGTGATTGATTTGGTTGGCAGGACCCCCTGAGCCTTTTCCATGTTGAGAGAAGCTTAGAGGGTACCCATCTGCTGGTGGTGTATATGTGAGATTGCCATGTTTAAAACGTGTGAGCATTATATATATATATATATATTACCTACCTATTTGCTGAATGTACCCTATACATTCTCTGGATGAATCTGGGTGTAGGTACTTGAATTTGCCTTTCCTTCCAACCGGCCATAACCTCGAAAAAGGTTATCTGATTATGTTTTTTCCCTTGGTGAGGAATTCAGCGTTCACTCGCTGGTTCTGGATACCAGTTTTTTTCCCGAAATCGCCATCGTCCGCAATCCTAGAGTTACCAACCAGCTTCTTAATTTTGTCTCGCAAGGTCTTGGTCCTCGCAACTTTCGCCTCATCAATTTCGACGTTAGTCAGCAGTGTTTTATTTTAGGTATTTTGGCCGTGCTTTCTCCAGCCTACGTAAACTCCGATCTTACAAGTAAAGGCTGGTTCTGCCTTATCCGTTCGGCTGCACAGTCTTCAGCTGTCTACGAGTTTCGCATTCGTCTCGGTCGACATATATCGCCTTCCGTCGCATTATCAGCCGCGTCGCCAAACCCTAATTGCCACAACGTGGATTTCATAGTCAGTTTTTGTTTTTTCGAAGTCTCGCCGCCATGGCTTCTAAAGAAGCCGACGCGCGGCTCGCGTACATGACGAAGCGCGAGTCGGAGATTCGCCTCCCGCGGGCGACGCGAGTTAAGAACAAAACTCCCGCGCCGGTCCAGATCACCGCGGAGCAAATCCTCCGCGAGGCGCGGGAGCGGCAGGAGGTAGAAACCGCGGCGCCGAAGCAGAAAATCACCGACGCGCAGGAGCTCGGGGAGTACCGATTGCGGAAGCGCAAGGAGTTTGAAGATTTAATTCGGCGGGTTCGGTGGAACACGAGCGTATGGGTGAAGTACGCCACGTGGGAGATGAGCCAGAAGGACTTCGCGCGCGCGCGATCCGTGTGGGAGCGCGCGCTGGAGGTGGACTACAGGTGAGTGTGACTAAAGATGGGTGGGACTATAGGTGAGTGTGATTGAAGGCGCGTGTGATTGTATGTGAGGGTGATTGTAGGCGTGTGTGATTACAGTGTGATTACAGGTTAGCATGCAGTGTGGGTCAAGTACGCCACGTGGAACACTTGTGAGTCAGGTGGAACACGAGCGTATGGGTTAAATACGCCACGTGGAACACTTGTGAGTCAGGTGGAACACGAGCGTATGGGTTAAATACGCCACGTGGGAGATGAGCCAGAAGGATTTCGCGCGCGCGCGATTCGTGTGGGAGCGAGCACTGGAGGTGGATTATAGGTGAGTGTGACTATAGGTAGGTGTGACTATAAGTTAGTGTGACTAGGTGATGCGCAACCGCTTTTGTGGTATGCGTTTTGACCTAGTCAGGGAGGTGGCCCCCGGTGTGACCCCCGCCTGTTCTTTTAAATCGTCCCCTTGCTCCTCTCCCTCGCCTCTCTTTTCCCCCCAGAAACGTGTCCCCTTACTATAAGTACGCGGACATGGAGATGCGCAACCGCTACAAGGGGAAGCATGCTCTGATGCATCGCCCTGTCCTCCCCACTCCATCACCCTCCCCCCTCTCCCCTTCCCCCTCCGCCCCCAGAAACGTGTCCGTGTGGCTTAAATACGCGGACATGGAGATGCGCAACTGCTTCGAGCAGAGGCACGCACTGATGCGTCGCACCAATGCACTTTATTCCCTATCGCGCTCTTCCCCCTTCCCCTGCCACCAGGAATGTGTCCATATGGCTCAAGTACGTGGACATGGAGATGCGCAACCGCTCTGAGAGCAAGCATGCACTGATGCATCGTCCTGTTCTCCTTTCTTCCCCCCCCCCCCCCCCCCTCCCCCTGCCACCAGAAACGTGTCCGTATGGCTCAAGTACGCGGACATGGAGATGCGCAACCGCTTTGTCAACCATGCGCGGAACGTGTGGGACCGCGCGGTGTCGCTGCTGCCGCGCATCGACCAACTCTGGTGAGTCAACGATGGGTTGTTCAGTCAATCAATGATACATCACAGCGCGGCACCATGCCATGCGCGGAACGTGTGGGAGCGCGCGGTGTCGCTGCTGCCCCGCATGGACCAGCTGTGGTGAGTCAAGGATTGCTTGTGGTGAGTGTGCGTTGAAGTGGCCATTGCCTGCATCAGGCAATGATACATCACAGCGCGGCACCATGCCATGCGCGGAACGTGTGGGAGCGCGCGGTGTCACTGCTGCCCCGCATCGACCAGCTGAGGTGAGTGCTGGCTTGACCTAGTCGTGAAAAGCCGTAACACACATCACGTTCACTTCTCCCTGCTTGTCCCGCATCTTGCAATCCTGCCCCTTCCCCACTTCTTCACGTTCATCTTGGTTGCGGGGGTGAAGAGGTGGGGAAGGTTTAGTCTTCCTCTCCCCCGCCTCTTCACGCCCTTCCTCCTCAACATTCACCCCCCTTACACCAACCCTGGACTCTCCCTCTCCCCCCCAAGGTACAAGTACGTTCACATGGAGGAGATGCTGGGGAACGTGGCACGGGCTGTTCCTTTGCACCCATTCCCCTCCTTGACACACCCCCCCCCCCTTCCCACACCCCTCTGCAAACACCCTGCTCCCCCCCTGCCTCACCTTAAGGTACAAGTACATTCACATGGAGGAGATGCTGGGAAACGTGGCAGGGGCTGCTTAATGCACCCTCTCTCTCCCCGTCCCCCTCCCCCATCTCCCCGCCCCCATTGTACTCCTCTTCCCCCTCCAAGGTACAAGTACATTCACATGGAGGAGATGTTGGGGAACGTGGCAGGGGCTGCTAATTCTTCTCTCTTTCCCCATACCCCGTTCCACCCCAACGGAAAACTCCCCCAACACCTTCCCCCCTGCAGGTACAAGTACATACACATGGAGGAGATGCTGGGGAACGTGGCAGGGGCGAGGCAGGTGTTGGAGCGGTGGATGAAATGGGAACCCGACCACCACGGCTGGTCCGCTTACATCAAATTCGAGCTCCCTTTTACGCCCTTTCCCCCTATCCCCCGTGTTCCCTGTGTCCCCTCCCCCCCGGTCCCCCTTTCCCCTGTCCCCCTCCCCTTCCCCCCCCCTTTTTCCTCCCCTCCCCCCCTGCAGGTACAAGTACATACACATGGAGGAGATGCTGGGGAACGTGGCAGGGGCGAGGCAGGTGTTGGAGCGGTGGATGAAATGGGAACCCGACCACCACGGCTGGTCCGCTTACATCAAATTCGAGCTCCCTTTTACGCCCTTTCCCCCTATCCCCCGTGTTCCCTGTGTCCCCTTCCCCCCGGTCCCCCTTTCCCCTGTCCCCCTCCCCTTCCCCCCCCCCTTTTTTCCTCCCCTCCCCCCCTGCAGGTACAAGTACATACACATGGAGGAGATGCTGGGGAACGTGGCAGGGGCGAGGCAGGTGTTGGAGCGGTGGATGAAATGGGAACCCGACCACCACGGCTGGTCCGCTTACATCAAATTCGAGCTCCCTTTTACGCCCTTTCCCCCTATCCCCCGTGTTCCCTGTGTCCCCTCCCCCCCGGTCCCCCTTTCCCCTGTCCCCCTCCCCTTCCCCCCCCCTTTTTCCTCCCCTCCCCCCCTGCAGGTACAAGTACATACACATGGAGGAGATGCTGGGGAACGTGGCAGGGGCGAGGCAGGTGTTGGAGCGGTGGATGAAATGGGAACCCGACCACCACGGCTGGTCCGCTTACATCAAATTCGAGCTCCCTTTTACGCCCTTTCCCCCTATCCCCCGTGTTCCCTGTGTCCCCTCCCCCCCGGTCCCCCTTTCCCCTGTCCCCCTCCCCTTCCCCCCCCCCCTTTTTTCCTCCCCTCCCCCCCTGCAGGTACAAGTACATACACATGGAGGAGATGCTGGGGAACGTGGCAGGGGCGAGGCAGGTGTTGGAGCGGTGGATGAAATGGGAACCCGACCACCACGGCTGGTCCGCTTACATCAAATTCGAGCTCCCTTTTACGCCCTTTCCCCCTATCCCCCGTGTTCCCTGTGTCCCCTCCCCCCCGGTCCCCCTTTCCCCTGTCCCCCTCCCCTTCCCCCCCCCCTTTTTTCCTCCCCTCCCCCCCTGCAGGTACAAGTACATACACATGGAGGAGATGCTGGGGAACGTGGCAGGGGCGAGGCAGGTGTTGGAGCGATGGATGAAGTGGGAACCCGACCACCACGGCTGGTCCGCCTACATCAAATTCCGATACGGCGAGATTGCACGCGCCCGGGCCGTGTTCGAGCGCTACACCATGTGCATTCCCACGGTGAAAGCGTGGATCCGTTTCGCAAAATTCGAGGTGAAGCAAGGGGAGATTTCGCGCGCCCGGGAGGTGTACGAGCGGGCAGTTGAAATTCTCGGCGAGGACGGGCAGAACGAGGAACTTTTCGTCGCGTTTGCCGAGTTCGAGGAGCGGATATGCAAAGAGATCGAGCGGGCCAGGGCGATTTACAAATACGCCCTCGACCACGTTCCGAAAGCCGAGGCCGAATCCCTGTATAAAAAATTCGTGGTTTTCGAGAAGCAGCATGGGGACCGGGCAGGGATAGAGGATGTGGTGGTGGGGAAGAGGCGGTTTGAGTATGAGGAGGAGTTGAAGAGGAATCCGCGGAACTACGACGCGTGGTTTGACTATGTGCGGTTGGAGGAGAGCGTGGGGGAGGCGGAGCGCGTGCGGGAGGTGTAAGAACGCGCGATCGCCAACGTGCCTCCTGCCGATGAGAAGCGCTTCTGGCAGCGATACATCTACCTCTGGTGGGTTGATCTGACTAAACTGTACGGGGGAGGTGCCCTGGGAGCTGGAGGCCGGCCGGGGGCATAGAGGGGACGTGGAAGGTGTATTGGGAGTGCCTGAAGCTGATTCCACCCACCACCACCCATCGCCACCCACCAACACTCTTTCCGTTTCCCACCAGGATCAACTACGCTCTGTACGAGGAGCTGGAGGCGGGGGACATGGAGAGGACGCGGGAGGTGTACCGGGAGTGGCCCCAGCACCCATCATCACCAGCCACCACCCACCTCCACCACTCACCACCACTCATAACACCTACGCTTCCCCCCACACCCACACCAGGATCAACTATGCCCTATACGAAGAACTCGAAGCGGGGGACATGGAGAGGACGAGGGAGGTGTACCGGGAGTGCCTGAAGCTGATCCCACATGGCAAGTTCTCATTCGCCAAGATCTGGCTGCTCGCCGCTCAGTTTGAGATCCGCCAGAAGCGCCTCTCTGCCGCCCGGCAGATCCTGGGGCATGCCATTGGAGTGGCTCCTAAAGATAAGGTGAGAAGCGATATGATTCAGGACTGTACAGTATGATGCGGTATTACAAGGTATGATAGAGTACAATAAGGTGCAATAATGCACGAGTCGTTTTTCAGAAGCAGTAAGGTAAGGTCATAAGAGGCGTCTCACATGAGTTAAGATGCGCTGTAAAAGTGGCGGCAAGATTGGTATGCCATGGGTGTGAGCTGAGATCCGCCAGAAGCGCCTCTCCGCCGCCCAGCACATCCTGGGGCATGCGATCGGCGTGGCTCCCAAAGATAAGGTGAGATCAGATACGGTATGAGTCGGTATGATACGGTTTGATGAGGTACGAGGAGGCGTACATCAAGATGGAGCTGCACCTCGGCAGCATCGAACGCTGCCGAATTTTATGCACCTCAAACAACAGCAAGAACCTCCAATGGCAGCCCATGTCCCAAAAGAATCTTGTTGTTCGAACATGGGAGGGACTGGGAGGGTTCATGGGACAAAAAATTCATGGGATTGGAGCCTCGAACAACAGCAAGAACCTCCAATGGCAGCCCATGTCCCAAAAAATTCTTGTTGTTCGAACCCTCCCAGTCCCAACCCTCCCACGCCTTGTGCCCTCCACACACATACCTCAGATCTTCAAGGCATACATAGAGATGGAGTTACAGCTGGGCAACATCGACCGCTGCCGCATGCTGTCCGAGAAGTACCTTGAGTGTGTGTTGACCTCTCCTTTCCTCTACCCATGCTGTGTACTCCAAACCACCACTCACCCTCAGATATTCAAGGCATACATTGAGATGGAGCTACAGCTAGGCAACATCGACCGCTGTCGCATGCTGTACGAGAAGTACCTCCAATGGCAGCCCGCCAGCTGTCCCGCGTGGGCCAAGTTCGCAGAGCTGGAGCGCAGCCTGGGCGAAACTGAGCGGGCAAGGGCAGTGTATGAACTGGCTATCGGGCAGCCGCTGCTGGACACACCTGAGCTGCTGTGGAAGGTACGTGATCGAGTGTGCTTGCACATGAGTATGCGTGCATGAATGTGTGCATGGTTGTGAGTGTGGGCCAACTTTTGAGTCGACTCAAAAGTCAGCTTTTGAGTCGATTCAAGAGTGTGCTTGCACATGAGTATGCGTGCATGAATGTGTGCATGGTTGTGAGTGTGGGCCAAGTTCGCAGAGCTGGAGCGCAGCCTGGGGGAGCCGGAGCGGGCACGAGCCGTGTATGAGCTGGCGATTGGCCAACCTCTATTGGACACTCCGGAGCTGCTGTGGAAGGTACGTTGGGGAAGAAGGAGAGTGTGTGTGCGTGGGCCAAGTTTGCTGAACTGGAGCGCAGGCTGGGGGAGACGGAGCGGACGCGAGCGGTTTACGAGTTAGCCATAGGACAGCCTCTTTTGGATACGCCTGAACTCCTGTGGAAGGTAGGTATTTCTTTGTGGGAGGTACGGTGTGGGAGGTACAATATAGAACGTGACTCAGCGTGGGCCAAGTTCGCAGAGCTGGAGCTGCTGTGGAAGGTACGCTGCATATGAGTGTGCGCATGCTTGAGTGTGTGAGCGTGTGCGTGGGCCAAGTTCGCAGAGCTGGAGCGCAGCCTGGGCGAAACCGAGCGAGCTCGGGCTGAATACGAGTTAGCCATTGGGTAGCCTCTCTTAAATACACCTGAGCTGCTGTGCAAGGTACGCTGTGCCTCAGCCACGCTTCTAGAGGCTGGCAGTAGTGTGTGCATGCGTGCGGGCGCGCGCGGTGTATGAGCTGGCGATAGGGCAGCCGCTGCTGGACACGCCTGAGCTGCTGTGGAAGGTACGTGATCGAGTGTGCTTGCACATGAGTATGCGTGCATGAATGTGTGCATGGTTGTGAGTGTGGGCCAAGTTCGCAGAGCTGGAGCGCAGCCTGGGCGAAACCAAGCGAGCTCGGGCTGAATACGAGTTAGCCATTGGGTAGCCTCTCTTAAATACACCTGAGCTGCTGTGGAAGGTACGCTGTGCCTCAGCCACGCTTCTAGAGGCTGGCAGTAGTGTGTGCATGCGTGCGGGCGCGCGCGGTGTATGAGCTGGCGATTGGGCAGCCTCTGCTGGACACACCTGAGCTGCTGTGCAAGGTACGCTGTGCCTCAGCCACGCTTCTAGAGGCTGGCAGTTGTGACTTGGTTCACGCGCGCGCCTTGGTCCTCGCGCACGCCTTGGTCCTCGCGCACGCCTTGGTCCTCGCGCGCGCCTTGGTCCTCGCGCGCGCCTTGGTCCGCGCACGCGCCTCGGTCCGCGCACAATTGTTAAGACGTCTCAATACGTGCAAGTACTCAATACCTGTCTTACTGCTTCCATCCCGTCATCTCTGTCCTATTGCAGGCGTACATAGACTTTGAGATAGCGGAGGGGGAGATCGAGCGCACGAGGCAGCTGTACGAGCGAGCACAAACACCTTCTGATGAGCATCAATCCTACTACCCTCTGCTCTCCTGTCTCTGCCCTTTTGCAGGCGTACATTGACTTTGAGATAGCGGAGGGGGAGAGTGAGCGCGCGCAATTGTTGAGACATAACACATTTCCCTGTTGTCTTTGCTCCCCTGCCCTGCCCCATGGCAGGCGTACATTGACTTTGAGATCGCGGAGGGGGAGAGTGAGCGCGCGCAATTGTTGAGACATAACACATTTCCCTGTTGTCTTTGCTCCCCTGCCCTGCCCCATGGCAGGCGTACATTGACTTTGAGATCGCGGAGGGTGAGAGCGAACGCACGAGGCAGCTGTACGAGCGGCTGCTGGAGCGAACCAAGCATGTCAAGGTGAGAAACAGCTCTTGCTGATAACCAGGTAACATCTGTGCTGTGTAGTTGCACTGTACATGGTAAGCACGATTGGGCGCTCGCACGAGGCAGCTGTACGAGCGGCTGCTGGAGCGAATCAAACATGTCAAGGTAACACTCCTTGCCACTCCTTGCCATCACTTTCCACTCCTGTCATTACTTTCCACCACCCCATTCTCCCGCAGGTGTGGATGAGCTATGGGCAGTTTGAGGCGCGGGTGGCAGTGGAGGAGGAGATGAAAGCAGAGGTGGAGGGCAGAGGCGGACGAGCTGGTGCTTGTGCTTCCCCCTTGCACCCACTCTCTCCCTCCCCACCTCTCCCCCGCACTCCATCCCTTCTCTTTCCACCCCTCCACAGGTGTGGATGAGCTACGGGCAGTTTGAGGCGCGGGTGGCAGTGGAGGAGGAGATTAAGGCGGAGGAGGAGGGCAGAGAGGCGGACGAGCTGGTCCTGGCAGAGCAGTCCAAGGACCGGGTCACCAGGGCCAGAGGTACAGTGCGGTGGAGTGGAGTATGGGGTGTGGAACCACAGGTACAGGACAGTAAAGCTGAGTATTAGCATGCGCAAATCAGGTGCGAGCAGAGGAGGAGGAGGGCAGAGAGGCGGACGAGCTGGTGCTGGCAGAGCAGTCCAAGGCCAGAGGTACGGTGCGGTGGGGTACGGTGCTTGGGGTGTGAGGTGTGGACAAGGGGTGGGGTGGAAGGTACAGACATAAGGAGCCGGTGCGAGCCCAGGAGGAGGAGGGCAAGGAGGCGGATGAGCTGTTGTTTGCAGAGCAGTCTAAGGACCGGGTCACCAGGGCCAGAGGTACGGTGCGGTGGGGTACGGTGCGTGTGGTATGGTGCTTGGGTTGGGAGTGGGGCTTGGGGTTACAGATACAACGGGGAAGTGTGAGCCCGGGAGGAGGGCAGAGAGGCAGACGAGCTGGAGCCCGGTCTAAGGGCTGGTTGACTGTGGCCGGAAGTACGGTGTTTGGTTAGGTGTGTATGGGTTGGTTGACTTGTGTGATCAATGGGGTGTGCGGTGTGGGTGGTGGGGTGTGGGGTGGGGATTAGGTACGAGGGCAGTGTGAGAGCACAGGGGTGTGCTGAATCTGATTTGTGTCTTCTCGCCTGCTGTTCTCTCGTTCCCTGCCTGCCCCGTTCCTCACATGCGGCCACGTGCAGAGGTGTATGAGCGGGCGTTTGAGCACATGAGGACAAACGCCGCCGACCAGAAGGAGGAGCGGGTGATGCTGCTGGAGGCGTGGCGAGAGATGGAGCGGGCGGCGGGCGTGAACGGCGACCCGGGATTGGTCGAGAAGAAGATGCCGCGACGCGTGAAGCGGAAACGGCCAATCACGACGGAGGATGGCACTCCTGCTGGGTGCGTGCATACTCAAATCCACTCATGCATATCTGGGTTGCTTTGTTACCATTCTCGTCTTGTGTGCTCTGCACTTATTGTTAGAGACTGACGTTGGTTTTGCCATTTCATCCATTCTTGCTTATGGCAGGTTCAAGGAGTATTACGACTACATCTTCCCCGATGAAGCATCTCAACATTGTTTCCCCTTTTCATCTGTTTTGTGTATGTGGCAGGTTCGAGGAGTATTACGACTACATCTTTCCTGATGAAGCGGCTAACCAACCTAATCTCAAGATCTTGGAGGCTGCTTATAAGTGGAAGAGGCAAAAGCTCACTATGGGGGATGAGGAGGAAGGTCAGCAGGGAGGTGGAGCAGAGAGGGATGAAGGGGGAAGTGGAGGTTTGATAGACAATAAGGAAGAGGATGACTAGTGCGTGAATCATCAACATTTATGCTGAAGTAGAAATTATTTGACGAAACTGTATATTCTTGTGCTTGCTTTCTGAACACTAATAAGATTGTATTCTTCACTGAGAATTTCTATAACGAGTATCAGGTCACCAGCCAAGTTTGTCCAGTCTGTGCACCACCCATTACGTCCTGCTTAGATATTATCTGCGCGTCAGGCACGGCGGACCGTAACTTTCTGCCGACCATCTATCCGTCATCGCCGCCGTCGCTTCCGCTGACACCATCCCTCGGTCCCCGCTCCACCAGAACTCCCAGCACCCTTCGATCGCGCCATTTCCGATCGCGTTCCCTCGCCTGCACACAGACACTTACGTCTGCAAGCTCGCGATCCGCGCGTTGCGTTTTCGCCTGTGCTCGCACTCGCGCTGCTTTCTTATCTCCCCGGAGTGTAGTGTCGAGCACCTGCACATTCTCGTAGCCATGGCGGGGGGTCTCGACGTGCATAAGAACAAGTACATCGAGGATTGGGGCACGCGGCGCGAAAACCTCGAGAAGATCTTTCGCTTCAACCGTCGCACGCTCTCGATCGCGGCGCTCGCAATCGTCGTCCTCCCCGTTGTCGTTTACCGAGGCACCATCGCAGAATTCGTAAGACCCGCTTTTTTTTTGTGAAGTCGTTATATTTGATTAGGGTTGGTGGGTGAAGAGGGTGGGAAGGGCAGGGACTTCTTTTTGCGTTCCTTTCTCCTCCTCCATTCCCCCCTCCCTTCCCCTCCCCTTCCCTCCCCCCATCTCCCCCCACCTCTCCCCTCTCCCCCCCCAACCACTTCTCACCCTCCTCTCCACCTGCGCTCTCTCGACCCTCGCACACTGCTTTGCATGGTAAACCTTGGTTTTGCCTAACAAAAGTTGTCGTTAGGAAAAATATAGAGCTTGCAAGGGCTGATGTCTTATAGTTGCACCCACTCTCTTGAGAGGATATGGTGTAATGCACCAAATAGATTTCCTTTGCTCCGTAAGCATGCTGCCGGCCAGGCTCCATTCTGTTTATATTCATTAGATGATGAATCGGACTGAACATGTGCACTCACAGCGTTCACATTCATTGCTTCATTTACCATCTTTTGCGTTCGTATCATTCGTCCACCTGTCCGCCTGTCTGTCTGCGTGTCCACCCTCGTTTCTCTACCCCATGCTCCCTCTTGTTCCTTCGTTGCCCTCAATGCACTTCTAATATCAAATCACCCCATTCCATGATTAACCACAATTCCCTTCCCTTACTCAGCAGCAAGGGTTAGAATTTCGCCTGGGTTTGCTTTCATTTTGCAAGCAGTCGTCTTTCGTCTCTGCTGATTGGATTCACTTCCTTCCATTCCACAGGCCCAACCTGTTGGGATATATCACAGCGCATGTCTTCTTGACTTGAACAGTGTTTTCGAGGTTATTCATTTACTCATTGCTGTATTGCTTGCAATATGTGCGCTGATGCAGAGGAAGCAAGAGGAACTGGAAGGCCGACCGCAGCGCAAGTTCATGTAGATGTGCAAATTCTTCGTACAGGGCATCAAACCATATGTAAATTGGAAATAGGACTGAATTGAACCCTTTTGAAGAGTGTTTTGGCCTTTCCTAAGCTCGTTAGTACATAACTGTATTGCTTATGCACACTCTGGGTGCTGAGTCATCCGCGATAGAGTCTAGGTTGACATCTCCCGCTCCAGCTCCTCCTACTTCTTCAGCTCCCATCGCGCCACGATGGTTCTTGTTGCTGCTGCCAGTCACTCGCGCGTGACCAGGCGAGAATCCCAAGGCCAACGTGTTCGCGATCCGCCCTTCTTCGCCGCGATCGCTCACCCAATCGTTTCCCTTCGCCACGCGCTCCGCCGCGCCGCCACATCACCACAACCATTACCAGCAGCAGCACCACCAGTCGTGGCTTTCACGACCGTTAAACGACTTAGAATTGGCTCAGAAAGCTGATTCACATCTGAGAACTCCCAACCGGCGCACCTGTCTTCTGCTCTTTTGAATCTCGTAGTATCGTTCCTGCGACAGATGGCTGCGCGCGTCGTCTCTCGCATCCGGTCGCACGGAGCGGCGGATCGAGCCGTTACATGGCCGTTCGCGGCGTTCGCAAACGGCTTTCCGATTTCGCGAGTCGTTACATCTCCCGCGTCCTCGACATGCCCCGTAAGGTACATTCCTCGTCGCCCCTAGAAACAATGCCATTCTCCCCCTCCCCTCCCCCCCCTCCCTCCCCTCCCTCCTCCCCCTCCTCTCCCTCCCCCTCTTCCCCCATCCCTTCTTTCCCCTCTATTCTCCGTCTCCAGCCTCATTCCCCGCTCTTCGCGCTCCTCTTCCCTCCTTTACCTCGTCTCTCCTCCCCTCAACCATCTCCTCTCTCTCTATGCGCTTGCTTGACTACCTCTCGTCTCTCGCTCTGTAAACTTTCACCCTTCTCCGCCCTTCCCTCCCTTCTTTACCTCATCGCTCCTCCTTTCAACCATCTCCTCCCTTCAACCATCTCCCCTCTCTCTCTCTCTCAATGCGCTTGCTCGACTGCCTCTCGCCTCTCGCTCTGTCAACTCTCACCCTTCTCCGCCCTTCCCTCCCCGCCCATTCTACTCTGTGCGTTTATTCCCGTAGGGATATCTCGTCAACCTCCACTCCCTCTGCAGAAGCTCCTACTGAAACAGCTGCATCCCGTGGTCCGTTAGAGGTAAGCCACTCTTGAGTCGATTCATCTAAACACCCAACTACAGGATTCTCTACGTTACCTCCCCTAACCCCACCTTCCTCTCCGCCCCTTGAGAATCTCCTACTGAAACAGCTGCATCCCTTGGTCCATTAGAGGTAAACCTTTTTTGAGTCTGTGACTCAACACTCGCCTGTAAAATCCCCTCCGCTACTTACCTCCTCCTCTGCGGAAGCCGTTACTACCAGCACTCACCTCCGTCCTTGCTCTCCGTTCATTCCCTCCCCCATTTCCTCCCAGGACCTGGCCCAGCAGCAGCGGGACTACCAGGCCCAAGTCTCCTCTCTCCGCAAGGCATAGGCACAGGAGCAGCAGGAGCTGAGGCGAGCAGCACTGAAGGCGCAGCAGGCACATCCCTCCCTACCTCCTACATGACTACCCCCTCACTGTCTCCCACCCAGGACTTGGCCCAGCGTCAACGGGACTACCAAGCCCAGGTGTCATCCCTTCGCAAGGCATACGCGCAGGAGCAGCAGGAGCTGCAACGGAAAACGCTGAAGGCGCAGCAGGCACATCCCTCCCTGCCTCCTTTCCCCTTGCTCCCCCCTCACCTTCTCCCCCCAGGACTTGGCCCAACGCCAGCGGGACTACCAAGCCCAGGTGTCATCCCTTCGCAAGGCATACGCGCAGGAACAGCAGGAGCTGCGGCGAGCAGCGATGAAGGCGCAGCAGATGCGCAGAGAGGCTGCGGCGAGCGAGAAGGAGTCGCATGCGGAGGAGAAGCGGGCGGCGAGGGCCGCCCGGGCGGCGCGGGCAAGGGAGGAGCAGGAGAGTCTGCGAGCAGCAAAGGTGGGTCGGATGAGTGGGGAAAAAAGGATATGGGGGATGGGTGGGGAGGGAAGAAAATGATGGGGGGGAAGGGGAGGGGTCGTGCTTGCTGGGTTTGTGTGTTGTGGTGTGGTGAGGCCTAGGGAGGAGCAGCAGCAGCGCAGAGAGGCTGCGGCGAGTGAGAAGGAGTCGCATGCGGAGGAGAAGCGGGCCGCGAGGGCCGCCCGGGCGGCAAGGGCGAGGGAGGAGCAGGAGAGTCTGCGAGCAGCAAAGGTGGGTCGGATGGGTGGGGAAAAAAGGATATGGGGGATGGGGGGGGGGGGGGGTGGTGAGAAATGGGGAAGACGGAAGTCGGCTTAGGTGGGTGGGTGGGTGGGAGGGAAGACAAGGATGGGGGGGAGGGGGCTGTGAGGGGGGAGGGGAAGGGTCGTGCATGTTGTGGTTGGGTGTTGTGGTGTGTGAGGCCTACGGAGGAGCAGGAGAAGCTGTAAGCAGCTAAAAGGTGGGCGGGATGGGTGGGAAGGAAACATAAGGATGAAGGGGGGGGGGGAAGATTGTTCAAGTTAGAGGTGTGTGGGATGGTCTGGAGAAGCACTTCTCTCCCCCGTAATCCCTGGCCCACCCATAATCCCTGGGATTGTTCATGTTTGTTTCTTTCTTTCTTCCTTCGCCCTACCCCATCCTCCTTCCCCACCCCATCCTCCGGCCCCCACCCGCACACCCCCCCTTCTTCACCACACCTTTTCTTTATGTGAGCAGCAAGAGCTGAAAGTGATGAATGCAGCGCGGCTCAAAGAAAGGGAGGAGAAGATCAATGCTCGCAAGGAAGCGGCCAAGACGGCTTTGCGGATGGAGAGCGCAAGATGGATCAGGGAGGACGAGTTGGAGTGGAGGATTATGGAGGCCATGTCGAAGCCATACATATTGTGATTTCAAATTGTACCAGTATCCTCTTCACGTCTATCACCCATGTAGGATGTAGTTCTTGTTGCTTCTGTTGCTGTGGGGAGAAAATCCGCCTCTTTAGTTCTGCTTCTTTTTTGTGAAATTTTGCTAGGGATTTGCAGGATGCATCCCTGTTCTAGCTTAGTAGGTGAATCGATATTAATCTTATAAGAAGAATGATATTCTGCTGGTCGGGTGTCACGCAGATCGGAGGCGGTTTGAAAACTTGCGGCGGTGTGACCGTTTTGGATACATATGTACCGCACTGGGAGATTCCAGTTCTTCCAGTCCAGACCGTTTTGGACTCCTTCTCTTCCAGTCCAGTTCTCTGGAGTATACGTATCTCAACGAACAAATGAGTCAGCCCAAGCCAGTAGGGACGCAGATTCGAGGAGTGCAGCTGAGCAGAACTTGCAAGTAGATCGGAGCAGAATTCGGGGAATTGTAGTCACAGATTCTGAATGACAGCCGTGTCATGGCAAGCGACGAAGCGGCGTGCCTAAAGACGCTCGTAACGAGCCCAAGCCACTTTCGCTGTAGTCACACTCCTGCTGCTGCTTAGGCTTGTGTCCCAATCGCGAATCCTCTCCCCTGTCCCCTTCGTTCCTCTCCAGTCCGCTTATCCTTCAATCGGCCGTTCCTTTCTCTGCTTCAACTCCTCGTATTCAGCGTTTCCTTGTTGTTCAACGTCAGCTGATTCAATAATTTAGTTTCAATCCGACTCGAAAGGGACGGATCACGATGCTGGGAATATTCAGCGTCGTCTATTACTCCGTAGTCTGTCTCATTACAAGCTTCCTCGTTGTTCGTTATGGGGTACCGGTTCGTCTTCTCCGGCAACTGCAGGTTTACGTTCTTACAGATCAAAATGCGGGAGTACCCATGTCATCCGCTCCCAACGGGCAGGGAAAAAACAGGGGCAGGAGAAAAAACAACGAGCCGGAAGCGGACGAAACAAGCGGCAAGATGATGCGAATTCTCGTGCAGGAGGGTCACCTCTATTCGCGAAAGTTCTTTCGCGAGTTCGACGAAACTATCCTGTTCGCCTGCATAGGGATCATGGCGGTGTTTTCCCGGGAAATCCTGACCGTCATTGAGATTTACCTTCAGGGAAGCGGAATCATCGCCAACCAGCAAAGCCAGCAGCAGCAGAATGCAGATCCGAACACCCCGAAGCAGAATCTACATTCCTCTTCCACTGGCCTTTTCCTGATGGATCATGGCGGCATGATTCCTCTTCTGCTTGCAGCTGTGGCTCTCTGGAAAATAATCCGGAACTGGGCTTCTGTAGAGTGGGACAGAGGCACAACCCGTTCCTCGGATTTCACGCAGTGTGCTCTCGCCGGGATAACGAGCTGCCTTATAACGGGGTTCCTCCTCTTCGTCTTGCCTGCGTCCCTCACCGGCTTCGACTTCGACTCCGTCGCGGAGAAGGCCGGCGTGACTATAACGAATCACTTCAAATCGAAGGGACTAGCTAAGGACAACATTCCCGAATTCGTCATCCCCCCAACCTTCATTAAAACCTCATTGGTGCTCTTCGCAGGGGTCATCGGCGCGCTGTGCCTCCCTGCTGCCATCCGATTCGTCCGCTGCTTTTATCTCTCCACCAGTCAGCAGCCGTGGGACACAGGGATCATCCATCAGGGTTTCTGGTCCTCTCTCCTCTGGAATGTCAGCTTTCTGCTGCCTGTGCTCGCAGCAGCGCTCTGGTTCCGCCCCCTGACGGAAGTTTTCGAGCCTGTAGTTGTTTTCGGTGCGATTGGGAGTGGTGCTGTAGCTGGTGGTGGTGCTGACAGTGCTGTTGGTGGTGGTGGTGGTGGTGACACTGCTTCAGCTGGTGCTTTAGGTTCTGCTTCTGCTGCTGCTGCTAATGCTACTGCTGCTGCTGGTGTATCCACTCTTTCCCACTTGGGTGCTTATGTTAGCTCTCTGATTGGATCCATTGTGAGTGGCCAATGCGGTGGCCTCCCAATCGAATGGCTCCAGGTGGCAGTTGTTCTCCTCAGTGGCATTTCCCGTCTTTTGCTTCTCCGCATCGCCGTACAGTCACACCTCAATACTGCGCTGGTGTACTGGTACGACCAGCTACACTCTGGCAAGGAGTGGGCTTATCATCGCGTAAACGCACGTGTGCAGCTGACGTATTATTTCATCTGCAAGGTTGCTATTCAAGCAGTTGCGCTCCCTATAGTCACGCTCCTGCTGGTGGGTATTGCGAGGAGCAGAGGACCAGAATTGGATCCACTCTTTGATAAAGAAGGGTCTCTGTTGCCACCACTGCTGGTGAGGGAGATGGCAATGTTTCTTGCTTGGTGGTGTAATTTGGCTTGGGCTTTGCAGACTTGTGCTATTCTGGCACTGTTCAGGGTAGGACAGTTGAAAGCTGTGTAGGCAGAGATGCCTTTTAGTGTATGACGTTTATGCAGTTTGAGCAACTTTATCATTCCCCTGAATCCATAACTTCTCGGGAGCGTTTCCTTCTGTACCAGTTGTTGAAACTGTGTGGCCTACTGTTGTATGGTAGCATTTTGCTTCTCGTCCTCGTTTGGTGTACAATAAACGTTTGCGTTTTCATACGCGTTGGAATGACTCTCCCGCATGGGGATCACTCAAACAGCACCCAATCATCTCTTACCGTCGCTTCGTCAGAGGCGCTGAAGGAACACAGTAACTCGTCGTTGTCGACGCTAAGTGGTTGTGCGAGAATTCGCCAAGCTAGGGAAAGGAGCCCACAGTTTCGCTCGAGTCGCTCAAATGCGCCGCCTTTGAAGGGGCGCAATTCGCCCCCTCCGTCGCCCCCTCGCATTCATTTGCACCTCCGCCAGCCACATCCTCTCGCCCCGAATTCGCGCTCATCCTCTCTCTCTCTCTCTCCCCGTCGCGCTCGTCGCCTTCCCTGTCTGGTCCTCGCCTCTTCCCTTCCCTGCCTGTCGGCTTCTCCCTTCCATCCAACATCCTTCATCCCAACTCTTCTCTCACTAGTCTCTATCCTCCCCAGTCTCCACCAGTCTCTTCAGTCCCCAGTCTAAGTTACTCCCAGTTTCGTTAGTCCACACTCTCCTTTCCACACCTTTCCTCTAGTAGGAGCTAACCTGGGAACTAGGAGCTACGCGCACCGCCATGTAGCGCATCCAGAAGTCTGGTAACCGCGCGAGGTGATCTTAAATTACGATCATCTGATTGAAGTCTTGCGTATGCGCGCTAGGAGCAGCATCACAGTTATCATTGGGGGTGGTGAGAGTAGCAGCAGCAGTAGCGCCAGCGCCTCTGCCAGCTCGAGCAGTAGATTCGGCGCGCTTATGGCTCGACCGGCCATCCGACGCGCTGTTATAGTAGCGCTGGTGCTCTTGGCGGGGCTGATCCCGTGTCTCGCACTTGCTCTCGCTCACGGCGAGCACGCCGCAGCTATTGTCCTCGATAGTGGCGCATTCGTTATACAGCAAGAAGTTGCCATTCAGGAGCATACAGCGACTAACTTAGCTCATGGATCAATCCACACTGATGGCACAGCTTCAACAACGGCTCAAGAGGATCCGTCCTTAACATTCTTTGTTAGGGTTGGTTCGCCCAACCACGGAACCTACGGTGAAATGCGGAATGGCGGCGGAATGGAGCTCGTGGGAGATTCTAGAGTGATTTCGGTAGAAATCGGCCTACGGTGGACGTTGGAAGCTAAGGCGTGAAAAGCGGGAGAGAAATCGGGAAGAAACTGGAGAAATGAAGGAAGAAGAGTGGAGAAGAATCGAGAATGAGTTCGACGGGGGAAAATGTGGTTCGAGACCAAGGCGTGTTCGAGAAATTTCCAGATTCGGGCTCAAGGAGTGTTCGGTGAATTCGGTTCGGTTGCGTGTGCGACTCGGGGTGAAACGAGGCGCACGCGGTTACTTGGGAAACAAGTGAAGTTACGAATCGCATTTTGTACCTTGGTTGACTATAAAACTGCTTGTACTCATTCTGGAAAACACAACATTGAAACCATTGGGATTCTGGAAATTGCTGAAGTGTGTATTGACAACTTCAAGCAGAGCTGCGCATATCGTTGGATTTGGGAGATCGTGGAGAACACGATAAGCAATAGCAAGTAGACTATTGCCGACTAAGGTGTTTACGATCCTAAGAACTGGTATCAGAGGTTGGTGTCAGAATGTTATCTTATGCTCTAGCCTGTAGTGGGGTGCTCTATAGCGAGTACAACCCTTCTAGGGTTTGCTATTTGTATCCCCATTCTTGCTAGTGCAGACCCCTTCCTCTTCCTCTTCTCTTCTTCCTTCTAAACTTTCACATGCTATCAGAGCAGGTCGATCCCCTTGGATCGATCCTGTGGGTGGGCTCACCACCTTGTTGCTTCCGCTGCAACTGCTACTGCTACTCTCTGTGCCGCACGCCCCGTGGCGTGCGGCAGTTTTTCTTCCCGCCGTGCGCCCCGAGGCGCGCGGCGGTTTTCTGCCCGCCGTGCGCCCCGAGGCGCGCGGCGGTTTTCTGCCCGCCGTGCGCCCCGAGGCGCGCGGCGGTTTTCTGCCCGCCGTGCGCCCCGAGGCGCGCGGCGGTTTTCTGCCCGCCGTGCGCCCCGAGGCGCGTGGCGGTTCTCTGCCCGCTGTGCGCCCCGAGGCGCGCGACGGGCTTCTGCCCCGTCGTTCGTCGCGTCGCCCTCTGGAGGCGCCGCGACGGGCGACGGGGACCCGTCGCGGCCCCGCCGCCCCACTCTCGCGGCCCCGCCGTTTTCCTTCGCGGCCCCGCCACCTCCGGTCGCGGCCCCGCCACCTCCGATCGTGGCCCCGCCGCCCCACCATCGCGGCCCCGCCGCTTTCCTTCACGGCCCCGCCACCTCTGGCCGCGGCCCCGTCGTCTCGCCGCCCTACGTGCGGCCAGTCGCCCTACCTGTCGCGGCCCCGGCCCCGGCCCCGCCTCCCCCCCCCCCCCCCCCACCCCCCCCCCTCCTTCGGGTTTCCCCTTTTCCCGTCGCCTGTCGAGGCGACCTGAGGGGGCCGGTGGCGGGTATGGGGGTGGCCGGTGTGCATTCCTCCCTTTGCTCCTCCTCCTCCTTCGTCTCCCACTGCTGCAGCTGTCGCTGAGGGGGGTGGTTGTGTGGGAGACTGGGGTTTAGGGTTTAAGGGGGGTGCGTGGGAGTGGAGCTAGCGGTGTAGCAGCGGGTGTGTGTCGGGGGGGTGAGACTGTTTGGGGAAGTTGCACGGAGGTTGCCGTCGTGTCGCCAGCAGCACCTGTAGTCCGGGGACTTCGTCCGGTAGCCCAGTCGTAGACTTCTACGCCAGCCGCCCGTGGGTCCGTTGCTCGTCTGCCGCTACTTTAGCCGCGGGGCCTGTTACTCCTGTAGTCCGGGCGCTTAGTCCGGTAGCCGCTGTGCCAGTCTGCCTCCTGTTGCCCGTGTGTCTGCAGCTTCAGCCGTCGCCTCCTATCTCCTCTCCCCTCACTCTCTCTCCTCCTCCTCGCTTGCCCGTTGTGACTACCACTAGCTTTGCTCATAATTGTACCCTTTAAACTATTCCTTCTTGAACTTGTGCTCAGAATGTGTGGTGACATTGTGATCCACCCTGAGCTTGTACTGCTTTTCTTGCTCTGCTGATTACACCCCACTTTGGCTATGGGGGTGTGTCAGAATGTTATCTTATGCTCTAGCCTGTAGTGGGGTGCTCTATAGCGAGTACAACCCTTCTAGGGTTTGCTATTTGTATCCCCATTCTTGCTAGTGCAGACCCCTTCCTCTTCCTCTTCTCTTCTTCCTTCTAAACTTTCACAGTTGGCGAACGGGCGCGTCGATCGCGGTGAATTCACTTGGTGCGCTAAGTGAAATTAGTGGAGAAGAGGAGTCGTTCACGCCTACGCCATGGGAGACGAGGCGAGTTCGGGTTCCAATGTGAGTCTTGGAGACCCGCAGTTGAAGGCTCTTCTCGAGGCCCTTGCGAGTGGCCGATTGGTGGCGAAACCGACGATCGGGCTCAGTGAAGCCCAGCGCTTCAACGGGAGCAACTACAACGTGTGGCGGAAGAAGTTTATTCGGAGGGCAGAGGAGGTTGACCTCTTGCCGTACTACCGTCCCGACGAGGAGACGATGGAGGGAGTTGCGCCATCCCCGACGGATACGAAGGAGAAAATAGCGGCGTTCAAAAAACAAAGTAAGCAAGCGTTCTTTCAGCTTTGTCACTCAGTTGCCGATGGAATCGCGGTGGATTTGGACCAGTTTGCAGGGGAGCTGAACTCTGCACAGAAAGCGTGGGAGTACCTGGAGTCCACGTACATGGGCACGAACGATGTCAACAAGAAGGCGATTAGGAAGCAACTGCTGATGCTGAGCATGGAGAAAGGCGAGAAAATCATCACCTACATCAACAGGGCGAAAAGCTACAACGACGATTTGCGGGTGATGGGAGCCGCGGAGACGGAGCATGAGATGATTGACTATATCATCCAAGGCCTTCCTAAGGAGTGGGAATCCGACATCGGTATGTTTACGTACCAACCGCCGGAGAGTTTGACGAAGCTGCAGGAGATTCTGCAGTCGCTTGAGACGGTGAAGGAGATGAGGAAAAAGAAAGCGGCAGCAGCAGCTACGGATTTCGACGAGGAGAGGCCGGCTTTGGTGAATGCAACGAAGGCGTTTGGAGCGTGCTACCAGTGTGGAAAGAGGGGGCATAAGGCGATAAACTGCTACGAAAATCCGCGAAACAGAAACTACAAGGGCAAAGCGGTGGAGAACGAGAAAGGAGAAAATGGGGGAGCAGAGTGGCAACAGAAACGAGGTTTTGGCGGCAAGTGCGATTATTGTGGGCGCTATGGGCATCGTGCCGCAGAGTGCTACTCCAATCCGAACAGCAGGAGCTACAAGGGTCCGTCGCAGCAGAGGAATGTGGCGGCTAAGGCGAATGTAGCAGAAGCGAACGAGGATGATATGATCCTTGGAGGAGCGCATCGTGCGAACGTGGTGCGTTTACCAAAGGAGGTTCGGCAGACGGACGATCATGAGAAGACGGCATGGTTCATGGACAGCGGATGCACGCGTCACATGACATTCAGGTCAGATTGGATGGAGAACGTGAGGGAGTCGAGTGAGGATTATATACTGCAAGGTAACAGTGGGAAGTTGCCAGTGACAGGAGAGGGTGACGTGGTGCTGCAGAGTCCGTATGGAGAGATGAGACTGGAGAATGTGCTGCTGGTTGAGGATTTGAAGGTGAACTTGGTCAGTCAGTCACAGCTTGATGACTTGGGGTGCAAGATATTCTATGACAGTGGTGAGGTGACTGTGTTTGGTCCTGAGTGGGAGAAGTATGCTGATGGTTACTTCAGTGACGGGTTCTATGAACTTGGTCGCGATGAAGGGCATAGATGAGTTCTATGAGGACCGAGAGTATCCTGAGATGGGAGAATAAGAGGAGTTATCGAATGAGGCTGATAAGAACGAGGACACGGATGATACGGGAGCAAGTGTGGAGGCAGCAGAGAAGCAGGAAGAGGAGATAGTCACCATGGAGGCAGCAGCAGTGAATGGTGGAGATGGAGATGGTGTCAACACTTTTGCAGCAGCGATCGTGGTTGAAGATGAAGCAGTAAATGCGAAGTGTGTGGGAGTCGCTGTGAAAGGGGACATCATGGTGAAAGGATCAAAGGCGAATGCAACTGCAAAGGGGCGAGTGCTTACAAAGGAGGAACACGTTGAGGGGTATGAGACCCGAGAGGTGTTGAGTGTTGACATGCCGAGGAGAAGCGAGAGGCTCAAGAAAATGTTTCATGGATTGGATGTCAAGGCGCTCAACTTCAAGACACGTAAGGAGAGGTTCAAGGTGCAGGAGCTGCAGGGGAGTGTGAAGGCGACTTAGACCCTGTGAAGGCTACGAGGAACAGGGGAGCAGTGTGAGTGGTGTTCGTGGTTGACGAACCACAGGGGAGATTGTTAGGGTTGGTTCGCCCAACCACGGAACCTACGGTGAAATGCGGAATGGCGGCGGAATGGAGCTCGTGGGAGATTCTAGAGTGATTTCGGTAGAAATCGGCCTACGGTGGACGTTGGAAGCTAAGGCGTGAAAAGCGGGAGAGAAATCGGGAAGAAACTGGAGAAATGAAGGAAGAAGAGTGGAGAAGAATCGAGAATGAGTTCGACGGGGGAAAATGTGGTTCGAGACCAAGGCGTGTTCGAGAAATTTCCAGATTCGGGCTCAAGGAGTGTTCGGTGAATTCGGTTCGGTTGCGTGTGCGACTCGGGGTGAAACGAGGCGCACGCGGTTACTTGGGAAACAAGTGAAGTTACGAATCGCATTTTGTACCTTGGTTGACTATAAAACTGCTTGTACTCATTCTGGAAAACACAACATTGAAACCATTGAGATTCTGGAAATTGCTGAAGTGTGTATTGACAACTTCAAGCAGAGCTGCGCATATCGTTGGATTTGGGAGATCGTGGAGAACACGATAAGCAATAGCAAGTAGACTATTGCCGACTAAGGTGTTTACGATCCTAAGATTCTTTAATCACACTCCGGCAGGATTGAAGCCGGAAACTTCTGACGCTATTTCTTCGATTCGTCCATTCCCCGAGCTACCTTCGAGCTTCTCAAGAGCTAGTCCGATTTTAGAGTCGCGAGAGAGCGGCGATCCCGATAGCAGTCCCCACGAGGCGACTTCCGAGTCGACTCAAAGGTCCTTTTCGGGAGCTCCTCCATTCCCCGAGCTACCTTTGAACTTTTCAAAAGCCCGTCCGTTTCCAGAGACGCGAGAGAGCGGCAATCTTGATAACAGTCCCCACCAGGGAAAAATTCCCGGAAATTCGAGATTATCCGCGGCAGAAGCTCTCTTCGATACGAGCAGAAGGATACTCAAGGTATGCACGAGCAGGTGATTGTGCGAGTGGGTGGCCACCCACCGATCTGCACGCCGCTGTACCGCATACGCCCAACAGCCTCAGTTTCTTGCCGACGAGTCCACATGCTGTTCACTTTCCCTTCCCGCTCCCCCCAAATCCCCCGCACCTTCCTACCCCTTCCCCTATCCACGCCGCCAGAACCTCGTTTCCCCTCCGTCTTCCCCATCCCCCGCGCTTCCCCCAGGGCTGCCCGTCGTTGGACGCGCTCGCGGACGGCGCGCTGGAGGAAGGGGAGCTGCGCGCAAGCGACTTTGGCGGAGACTTCGTGTTCGGATTCGCTACAAGCGCCGCTCAGGTGAGGCCACGTGGCACGGAGAGAGAGTGAGCCACGTGGCACGGAGAGAGAGTGAGCCACGTGGCACGGGATGCAGGGGAGCCACGTGTGGAGGGTTCAGGTGCAGCGCCGTAACATATTCGCAGTTATAGATTTCATTCATGCACTAATGCACACAATACGGTTACTGTCTCCTTTCTTCAATTACCCTGTTTATCCGCGCTTCTTCCCGTCCCCCTCCTCCCCCCCAACTTTCTCTCCTCCTTTCTCCTCTATCTCCCTTCCCGTATCCCCCTTCCCCCTCCCCCTCCCCCTCCCCCTCCCCGTCCCCCTCCCCTTCCGCCCATGCGGCGCTCCAGGTGGAGGGCGCAGTGTCGGAGGGCGGAAGGGGGAGAAGCATTTGGAACGACTTTGCAGAGAGGGCAGGTGAGGGGGAGGGCGGGCTGGAATGAGGGGAAGTAGAGAGGGGAGGGGGGTGAATGGAGAGGGCGGGTGAGGCGGAGGGCGGAAGGGGGAGAAGCATCTGGGACGACTTTGCGGAAAGAGCAGGTGGAGGGGAGGGCGGGATTGAAACGAGGGAAAGGAGAGAGGGGATGGAGAGGGGGGATGGAGAGAGGAGGGGATAGAGGGAAAGTAGAGAGGGGATGAAGAGAAGGGGGAGAGTACCGCCATCATTCCTTTACACAAGGTTTTCAAAGCAAGTTTTTCTACACACACTAAACAAACAGTTTGCTAAAAGCTGCTGCTGCCACGCAAAGACCATGACTCCTGTTTGGGGTTCGATTGGAAAGTAGAGAGGGGATGAAGAGAAGGGGGAGAGTGGTGATGCAGTGAAGGGGAGGAGAGGGGGGATAGAGGGAGGAGATAGAGAGAGGGGATAGAGAGAGGGGATAGAGAGTGGGGAGGCATCTAATGATGATAATCCTGCCAGTCACCCCTCCATCTCTTAATTCATTGCTTCATCCCTAGAAAGAATTGCTTTTTGAGTGGCGAATTTTTGAAGCTGCAACTTACCTAATCTGCAACTCCTGCCTGCCTTGTTGTATCTTCAGGAAAGATCAAGGACGCTTCAAATCCGTCAGTCACAGCTGATCAGTTTCACCGGTTTAAGGTGAGGCTAGACCGGTAGAGTACACCTTATCCTCGCCATAAGGCACAGCATATCAAGAATGCAGACTTGGCACGTATACTTAAGCGAATGTGTTTCTTCAATAATGAGTGTCACTACTCTCTTCGTACCATTCTATGCATGCGTTAACCATTTTGTTTTCCCCCTGGTTGCTTGTATGCGTGGCCACGTCATCAGGATGACGTGGCACTGCTCAAGGCCATGGGGGCGACCTCCTGCCGCTTCTCCATCTCCTGGTCGCGAATCATCCCTGGTGAGTCAAAGCAGTCAACGTGAGTCAACTTGGGTCAATGCAAGTCAATGATCTGCGGTCAGTGGTCAACGCGAGCGGCCTCCTATTGCTTCTCCATCTCCTGGTCCCGAATTATCCCCGGCGAGTCAAGCCGGTCAACGTGAGTCAACAAGAGTTCAACCAGTCAATGATATGCAGTATTCAGTGCTCTCCCTTCTCCACCCACCGCTGTCTCCCCTCCTCCTCCTCTCCTCCCTTCTCTACCCCGTGGACAGATGGCATGGGAGCAGTGAGCGAGGCGGGCGTGCAGCACTACAGTCGCCTCATAGACGAGCTGCTGGCCAATGGCATCGCGCCAGCTGTCACGCTGTACCACTGGGACCTGCCCTCTCACCTGCACGAGGCACACGGGGGCTGGCTCAATGCGAGCATCGTGTGAGTGGTGCTGCAGAGAGAAAGAGTGTACCCACTGTCACTCGTTGCTGTTGCCGAGTTTTCAATGTCTCACGACGAGTTACCCTCTACCTCTGGGACCTGCCCTTGCCCCTGCACGAGGCACACGCGGGCTGGCTCAACAGAAGCATCGTGTGAGTGGCTGCAGAGCGAAAGAGTGTATTGCCGTTACCGAGTTTATTGCATGCCCAAGCTCATTTTTCTCCCAAGCTAAAGGTCGTTGGTATCGCATAATCCAAACACCTCTCCGCTCTTGAATACAGACACGCCCTTTCATCAGGCACGTGGGCTTGTGCTACTGTGCCTTGCCAGGACACCTAAGCTGCTGTATCTGCTACTCAGTTAACCCCACCCCCCCCCCCACCCACAGGCACGCCTTTGTTCGGTACGCGGGCGTGTGTTTCGTCGTGTGTTTGCTCGCAACGCCGGGACGCCTGAACTGTCATTTCTTCTACTCCGTCAACCCCTGCAACCTCAGGCACTCTCCCTGCCTCCCCAACCACCACAGGCACGCCTTCGTCCGGTATGCAGACGTGTGTTTCTCTCGCTTTGGCGACCGGGTGAAGACGTGGATCACATTCAACGAGCCACAGCAGACTGCTGTGCAGGTGAGTGAGGGGAGGGGGGAAAGGGGGGAGCAGGCGGGAAGGCATGATAAAGCAAATTTAGTCATCCTGTCGTTTCGGCAACAGCGTGAAGACTTGGATCACATTCAACGAGCCACAGCAGACTGCTGTGCAGGTGAGGGGGGTGTGAATAGGGGGGATGGGCGAGCTGAGAAGGGGAAAGTGGGAGATGGGGAGAGGGGGGAAGGGAAGATGCTGCTGCTGCTGCTGTGGCCGTGACCCAGTGACAGTGTTACAGCCAATGGGTTTTCCCTCATGCCTTCTCCCTTCTCCCTTCCCTCCTCAGGGTTACGGCTATGGCACTATGGCACCTGGTCGCTGCTCCAATCGCACTTCCTGCGAGCAAGGGGATTCATCCACTGAGCCTTACATTGTCTCTCACCACATCATGCTCGCCCATGCTGCTGCTGCTGTCTTTCCCTTCCCACTACCCCACCTCCCTCAGGGCTATGGCTATGGCACTATGGCACCTGGTCGCTGCTCCAACCGTTCTTCCTGCGAGCAAGGCGACTCGTCCACTGAGCCTTACATTGTCTCTCACCACATCATGCTCGCCCATGCTGCTGCTGTGGCCGTCTATCGGAGGAGATACAGCAACCAATGGGTTGCCAGCTGGGGGAATGGGGAGAAGGGGAAGAAGGAGAAGGAAAGGAATGGCGGAGGAGGGCGCATAGGCATGACAATGGATTGTGTGTTTCTGCTCCCGGCCGATGGCACCCGGGAAAGTGTGGACGCAGCGCAACGAGGCATGGAGTTTGCATTTGCCTGGTGGGTGGGTGGGAGAAGCAGGAGGGCGCATGGGCATGACGATGGACTGTGTGTTTCTGTATTTGGCTGATGGGAGTCGAGAGAGTGCTGTGCGGACGCGGCTCATCGAGGCATGGAGTTGTCTTTTTCCTGGTGTGTTGGTGGGAGGGTGGGTGGGAGATGCAGGAGGGCGCATGGGCATGACAATTGATTGTGTGACCCAACAACATGCTACCTTGTCTCTCCTCGCTCCTCTTTCCCCTCACTAGGTTTGCAGACCCCTTATTCAGGGGCAACTACCCGCCCTCCATGCGCCAGGCTGTCACCTGCTGCCGATCTGTTTAAGAGGCGCCTCAGAAACAGACTCTCACCACCACCACATGTCACTCCCCCCTTCCTTCCCCCCATCAGGTTTGCAGACCCCTTATTCAGGGGCGACTACCCGCCCTCCATGCGCCAGGCTGTCGGCTCGCGTCTGCCGTCCTTTTCTGCCACCGAATCCTCGCTGCTGATTGGCTCCTCGGATTTCATCGGCCTCAACTTCTACACCGCTCAGTTCGCCGCCGAAAAAACGGTTCAGGATGGTGGCAAGGTAGCTGACGTGGCAAATGGGGTGGCACCATGGATGGACTGCCACGTGGACATGACAGGTGAGTGCCACATAAGCCCAAGTCTAGCCCAAGTTTAAGAAATTTACTCTCTCCCTTCTCCATTTTTTTTGTTGTTCTTTGTTTGTTCCATCCACCCCATTCCCCCCTACCCCCCATTGCCCATTCTCCACACCCCATCAACCCTCCTTTGTTTCCCGCTGAAACCTTCTCCTTCCAGCTGTGTCTCCTGTAACGGGGAAGCTTATAGGGGAGCGCACGGCATCATCATGGCTACACGTGGTGCCAACAGCAATCCAGCACATGCTGACGTGGATCAGCCACAGATACCCGTCCGTCCCCATCATCATCACTGAAAATGGTATCACTTCCATTTTTAGCATCATATCAAAAAGTACGGCGGCTGTTTGACCCAATACATGTGCCTTTAACCTGTACATGCACATGGAACCCCATTTCTAATTTGTTATTTTTTCGTCCCCTATACGCCAGGAATGAGTGAGCCCAACCTCCCGTCGCGCTCACTGGCTCGCACCCTCTGTGACGACCAGCGTGTTCGTTTCTACCGCTCCTACCTCTCCAGTGTGCTTCAAGCCAGGCGGTACGATCCCCTCACCCTCCTTACCTGGCCCCTCCTCTCACTCTACCGCTCCTACCTCTCCAGTGTGCTTCAAGCCAGGCGGTACGATCCCCTCACCCTCCTTACCTGGCCCCTCCTCTCACTCTACCGCTCCTACCTCTCCAGCGTGCTTCAAGCCAGACGGTATGATGGCTAGTGCTTCCCGTCTACTCTCGCTAGCCATTTCTATTGCTCCTCCTATCTCTCTAATGTGACTCCTGCCACGCAGCACAGAAGCCATCCCGCTTTCTCCCCTCCCTTCTCCTGTCCTCATCTCATTTCCTTAGTAGCATCTCTTCTCGTGTCTGTTACTGAAAAACTGTTACTGAAACAATCTCAGAATCTTGTTACCCAACACGGAATATCTTCTCTCTCCATGTCTTGTGCAGGCAAGGCGTGCCAGTGGAGGGATACTATGCGTGGTCACTACTGGACAACTGGGAATAGGCCATGGGGTTTTCAGAGCGGTTCGGTGCGGTGTTTGTCAACTTCACGGACCCTTCGCTTCCGAGATTCCCCAAGGCGTCTGCTCTCTGGTTCAAGCACCTTTTAAGAGCACACTCTATGCACATTAGGGGGCATGCGGTGCTGTAACAAGTGTGTTACGCAGTCATTTAAATTTTGGCAGAAAAAAAAATTCAACCCCACGTACCGTCATACCCCGGATAGAAGCGCAGGCCTCGGATAAGCGCCGGCGCTTATAAAGGGATGAGGGCGCTTATATCCGGTCCTCGATTATAAGCGCACCCCCTAAAAATTTTATGATTTATTATAAGCGCATGTCGAATATTATCTGAAAATCAGTCAAAACACGGAAACGAGTTTCACCTTACCAGGGAAGCGAAGTACAGTTCCACTTTCCCCACTCACATCACACTTGCTGCGCGTCTAGTCAGCACGCGCTGTCGCTTAGTCAGCATGTGTTGGCAGGGAATCAATCCCTGCCTCGAGAGTCAAATTCGCGACCCCATATATTTTCGACTCGATTACAATTGGCAGAACGAGATCTACAGTTTGGTGTTAAAATAAACTTAATTTCATTTGCCGTTATATAAACGCCGGCGCTTATAAATTTCCTCAATTATAAGCGCACCCCCTAAAAAACAGTGTTTTATTACAACCCCAGGGGCGCTTCTATCCGGGGTATGACGGTACCATATTCCTGTGTACATGTTATTTCAACCAATGGGTTGCAATCACCCTCTAAAGAGGATTTGCTTTGGCCATATCTTAGGTACCCAACAAAAGTGGGGACCAGAGTGTTGGTACGAGTGGAACCAGCAAACTACACTTTATTCCACAATAAGAACTGTACAGCAAATGTTACACACCAGTGCTGCAAACTCTACAGTCAATGACAAACATAACCCCACAGCACTCCTATCATGCACTCTTCTCTTAGTGATGCTTCTGCGCTCTTCATGATACTGCCTTCACTTCATCCTCCTCCACACAGTCACATCGGTCACACCCTCACAGCATGCCCTTGCCATTGTTTCTCGCCTTGCGTGCGGGAGGCGCCTTGATACTTGCAATCCTGTCTCCCCCTATCCACTCCCCTCCACTCTCCTCCAGTCCACCCCCCCATCCCCCCCCCCCTCTCTCTCCACAAACCGTTACCCTCACAGCATGCCCTTGCCATTGTCCTTGGCCTTGCGAGCAGGAGGCGCCTTGATGCTTGCAATGCCCGTCACCTCCCGCCCCGTCACAAGAGCATTCACGTCGTACGTGCCCTCATAAGTGTAGATTGGCTCCAAATCGCAAAAGTGCTGCAAGGGGAGGAGTGATGCACAGGTGGGGTGGGCATAGAGAAAGAAAAAGCAATTCTTAGTCTCAACAGCATTCATGTCGTACGTGCCCTCATATGTGTAGATTGGCTCCAAATCGCAAAGTGCTGCAAAGAGGAATGGAACACAGGGAGAAGAAATTAGTCGCACAGGTACGATGGCCTGCACGTTGCCCAGGATGCGCTCCAGCTTCTCCTCGCAGAGCACCAGCACCATTTCTACTCTCCCTAGGGTTACTTTCATTACAGGGATCCTGGTTCGGGGTCCGGGGTTCCAGACCATAAGTATCAGACTCTCACCTTGGCCACTAGAAATTCTGCCAGGATGCCGTTTCCACCCAGCAGTTCCCTGCCCAAAGCCGCCGTCTCACGTGCTCGGAGAGTAATCCACGCTTTGGCCATGCTCGCATGCCCGGCCGTCATCCTCCCCTGGTCGTACAGCTGGGCCAGGCGCCGTGCTAGCAGCGACATGGCCTGCACGTTGCCCAGAATGCGCACCAGCTTCTCCTGGCACAGCTGGAAGGAGGCTCTCCTCTCCCTAGGGTTTCTTTCACTATGGGGTTCCAAGATCCAGGATATAAGTATCAGACTCTCACCTTGGCCACTAGGAATTCCGCCAGGATCCCGTTTCCACCCAGCAGCTCCCTTCCCAGAGCGGCCGTCTCGCGCGCTCTGAGGGTGATCCAGGCCTTGGCCATGCTCGCATGCCCTGCTGTCATCTTCCCCTGGTCGTACAGCTGGGATAGCCGCCAGGCGAGCAGCGACATGGCCTGCACGTTGCCCAGGATGCGCACCAGCTTCTCCTGGCACAGCTGGAAGGAGGCGAGCGGCGCGGAGAACTGCGAGCGCTGCTGCAGGTAGCGCAGGCAGATGTCGTATATGCCCATGCACATGCCGACGGGGAGCCAGGATACCATCACCCGCGACACTGCCAGCACCTGATAGAGTTGGGAAGAGGTGATAGGGGAGAGGTGGTAGGGGAGAGGTGATAGGGGAGAGGTGGTAGGGGAGAGGTGATAGGGGAGAGGTGGTAGAAGAGAGCTGAGTGAGACTCGGTGGTGCAGGTAGCGCAGGCTCATGTCGTATATGCCCATGCTCATGCCCACTGGTAACCAGGATACCATCACCCGTGACACTGCCAGCACCTGAGGGATAGCACGAGGAGCAGGCAGACAGAAGGGAGGGGGAAGAGGCAGCGAAGAGACAGTTGAGTAAGAGTCAGTGGTGCAGGTAGCGCAGGCAGATGTCGTATATGCCCATGCACATGCCCACTGGTAACCAGGATACCATCACCCGTGACACTGCCAGCACCTGAGAAGCAGAGAGGGTAGGCAGCCGGGCAGGGGGTGAATAAATGATAGGATGCACTATAGAAATTGCACATGCACACTGGCAACCGCACTGTACCGCACTGAAACTGTTGCCTTGCTCTTCCCATATGTGTTGTGGAAAGAATACACTCCTGGTAGATGGTCACAGTCAGGCACAAACATGTCAGTAAGGGTGATGTCTCTGTTCTGCACCAAGCACAACCTACACTTCCCACACTGTACCGCACTCCACCGCTTTGAAAATGCTCGCACCTTGTTGGTGTCCTAGAGGGAGTTCAGTCCTGGCAGGCAGTCACAGTCACGTCCTTGAGTGTGATATCTCCGTTCTGCAATAAGGGCAGCCCATACTTACGGCAGTATACTGCACTGTATCGCAATGCACTGTGCTGTACCCCTCTGTACCGCATTGAACCTGCCTTCCTCTCACCTTGTTGGTGTCCTGGAAAGAGTTCACTCCTGGCAGCCGGTCACAGTCCGGCAAAAACACGCGTGATGTCCCCGTTCTGCACTGAGCACAACCTACACTTACGACACTTTACCGCACTGTACCGCTCTGTAACCTGTAATACCGCACTGTACCCCATTATACCGCACTGAAACTGCTCTCACCTTGTTTGTGTCCTGGAAGGAGTTCACTCCTGGCAGCCTGTCACAGTCCGGCACAAACACGTCCTTTAGGGTAATGTCTCCGTTCTGCACTATCCGCAGCCCGATCTTGTTCTCCATCTTCACCGCACTGTACCCCTTTGCACCCTTGCGCACAATGAAACTGGAAAAGGGGAGAGATGAGACGAACGGGCATGAAGAAGGAGCAGATAATGGTAAGGTTTATAATAGTGGGAGTGGGAGACGTGAAAACGGAAAAGGCTACTAGGAGGGGCAAAGGTGGCACAGGCTTAGATAAAGCAGACAGATCAGACAAAGCAAAGCCATAGATGGATGGAGGAGTCACTACCATCAGGCTTGGCCACAAATATGGGGAAACCTTCGGGCCCACAGAAGGTTGGTAGAGTTTACGGAACGATTGACCAATTGGACAATGGGCAGGGAGAGTTGAATGAAAGCTCACCCGTTGACCTGATTGGTCGATGTGTTGCGGGCAAAGATGATGATGACGTCAGCAAAGGTGCTGTTGCCGATCCACCGCTTGAAACCGTTGAGCACCCATCCGCCCTGCACCTTGCGTGCCGTGGTGGTGAGAGCACTGGCGTCACTGCCATAGTCGGGCTCTGTCAAGCCCTGAGGGACACGGTGAGAGGGATCAAGAGACGGGATATTCAGTGCACGGGAGGTTAAGAACCCACCCAGCCGCCCTGCACCCTGAATGCCGTGGTGGTGAGTGCGCTGGCGTCACTGCCATAGTCGGGCTCTGTCAAGCCCTGAGGGACACGGTGTGAGGGATCAAGAGACGGGATATCCAGTGCACGGAATGAGGCTAAGAATTCACCCATCCGCCTTGCACTCTGCATGCCGTGGTGGTGAGTGCGCTGGCGTCACTGCCATAGTCGGGCTCTGCCAACCCCTGAGGGAAACGGTGGGAAGGAAGGGATGGGATGTGCAGTGGGTCAGGGACATGGGCGCAGAGGGAGGAAGTTGTACCAAGAACGCTGTCCAGCACACTCATTTAGCACAAAGTCACTCAGCTCACTCAACCAGCAAAACGGTGTGCATACAAAGCACAGATGCTTCGTCATCCCCCCAGTACAAGCCCCTCACCCAGCGCAAGCCCCTCACCCAGCGCAAGCCCCTCACCCAGCGCAAGCCCCTCATCCAGCGCAAGCCCCTCACCCAGCGCAAGCCCCTCACCCAGCGCAAGCCCCTCACCCAGCGCAAGCCCCTCACCCAGCGCAAGCCCCTCATCCAGCGCAAGCCCCTCACCCAGCGCAAGCCCCTCACCCAGCGCAAGCCCCTCACCCAGCGCAAGCCCCTCACCCAGCGCAAGCCCCTCACCCAGCGCAAGCCCCTCACCCAGCGCAAGCCCCTCACCCAGCGCAAGCCCCTCACCCAGCGCAAGCCCCTCACCCAGCGCAAGCCCCTCAC